GCGAAATCTCTGAGACCAGTAGTAGTACCTCTACTGCTGCTAGGAGCTGACGAGGTCGACGCTGTGACGTGGTTATCCGAACTTTGTCGTTTCGCTACGACGATCTCCTTCGCCAACTTCCATATGTCCTCGAGGCTTTGGCCCGATGACCGTATCTCAGGATTGGACAAGAGCATGGCAGCTGTCTGACGATAGGATAGAGTCATGCTACTTATCAATGTCTCTACTATTACTACCTCTACTACCGGCCCATCAGCAGACTCCTCTAGGAGGTCTTTTACCGGCATTTTACTAGAGAACAAATACACTAACACGTACTTCTACAGTCAACCTAATTCCCCACGGCAGCTAAACAACGGCAAAAAGATTAACGGAGCGAACGCATAAATTCAATGATATCACACAAAACAATACTATCAAGTCGTGACGTGTTGCTGCTTACAACACTGCATGAATGACAAGCGCGCGCGCCTATGTAATCGATTTATCCGCGCAACATCGAGCGGAATGCCGTAGGGCTATGGTCGATGACTACTATGCAACCTACCGGAGGAAGTAGCCCACTTCGGGTCCCGAATCGCATGTGTATGATACAGCATTCATGCGTCGTTACAGGTTGCCATTAGCAGGCTGGAACTCGATGCATGAAGATAATGTGCCGAGACTCCCACCCAGGGTGGTCTCTCAAAATTGTGGTCGTTTTTTGCGAAAGTGGATCCCCTACTTAACGCCATGTTCTTGCTCATGTCCGCGGACATAGCGGCTGTATTAGCCACATATAGATCTCTGTACGATAGAGTCGTATCACTCACGGTATTGAGGTTGGACGAACTGTCTTTGTTGACAGCCCTCGTAAGCATTTGTCCGTCAAATGCAATGGTTATTGTCTTCTCGTCTGCCCCATGTCTATTCTAAGTCACAAAATCTCCTCCACTGATGAGAGCCTCACAGTCACTAACTCAGCAATAGCAACACAACATATCACCTTAACATTACCATCACATGAAGACACACTATCAAATAAAAGCCCATAGCGTTATTCATACAGCGTTAACTGGTTCGTGCTATTATAATGATCGAGGACAGTAAATTACAAACTGCCCTTCTGGTATAGATCGTAGTAGACGCCCTCTTTAGTCAACAGCTCGGTGTGGGTGCCTTGTTCGACCAGCCGTCCACCGGCTATCACCAGTATCAGATCGGCATTGGTGATAGTCGATAAACGATGGGCTATGATCAGTGTTGTTGGCTTTACCACCGTACCTACTATCCAAACATAAAAACAGGCAGCCGCGACCGCCCACATCGTCACCATCAGTGGAGGCTTGTCTCGTCGTAGTCAGCTCATCAATAGCCTTCTGCACTACTGCTTCTGATGCCGAATCCAATGCAGAGGTCGCCTCGTCGAGCATGAGTAACCTGATGAACAACATCCAGGAGAATGGGCAAGCACAACCACTCGCCTCGGATGCCGCATCAATGCCCTAGCAATGGCCACTCTCTGCTTCTGGCCTCCCGATAGTAGACCACCTCGAGGGCCCAAACCGGCATCCCAAGCCACCTTGTTACCAGCAAAGTCATTCATACCAGCCCGACCACAAATAGAGAGCATCTCCGGGCGCCCAACAGGTGGTGACCTGAGGAATGCCAACTAACCAGTCGTTGATGCAGCATAAGGTGGTGGTGGCCACCCGTATCGAACGTTCTCTTCCAAGCTCAAGTCGAAGAGAACAGGCTCTTGTGCTACAAACCCAATCTGACTTCGCCACCAGCCAACATTCATATCTTCTAGACGAGCCTGAGCAGGCTCAACTAGTATCTGCAAATGAGTACATGATCTATATCCTGCTAGTCTGCTAGGACCTACCTCGCCACCAGTGGGGTCATAAAATCGCTGCAGAAGGGCGAACACAGTCGATTTCCCTCCGCCGCTTGGGCCCACCAAAGCCACAGTTTTACCAGCCTCAATCTCGAAGCTCAAACCAGATAGAATCTGAAAACCACATGCAACATATGAAAATAATGTTACCGACCTGAGCGCCTGGTCTGTGAGGATACGCGAA